GGTTGCTTTACGGCCCAGAAGAGAAAGTATTCCTAGAGGATAATAATCTTCGCTTTGAAAAGAATTTATATAAAAGAAATATTATTTTTGACATAGGTAATTATTTTTTTTATTTATAATTCATTATTTCTTTCTACAATCGCAAAATATAAGGCTTGTTCCTACCGAGTATTTGGACTGTCAATTTGACTAAAAACAGCATCGTTTAGCGTGTAAAACCGCTTTGAGGTTATGTTCAAACTATTTTTCAGGATCTCGGAAAGGCAGTACAGCTCGTCTTTGGACCCTAGCAAGCACAAGTTCCAGGCGGCTCCGCACCAAAAGGCCGCCCCAAAAACGGCGGCCAAAGCCGGTTCCAACCCCTTCGAAGACGATTACGAGCGCGAGAAAAATCCCTTCGAAATCGAAGAGGACGAAGACGACAAAAACAACCCGTTCAGAGACGATTACGAGTGCGACAAAAATTTAAACCCGTTTTCCTAAGAGATGTTATAATGTAAGCTTTATTTTGTACATAATATGCTGGTAATATATTTATTAACTTTATCCAGAGCTAGTTTTTCTTTATGTACTTTTGGCAACGTTGGGTTATCAGAACTACCGCCGACTGTAGACGTAAAAAACGCGGAAATAAAAAACGTAACATTTTATTCATAAAAAAAATTAAACATACTTCTTTAACAAACAAATAAAATTATTAATTCTTAGAAACTAAGTAAGTAAAATTAACACGCGTATGCGTAGTGGACGGTTTGCATGTGCTGTTCAATATCACCAATAAAAACTTCATGCCTACAAATCTCACATATAACTTTTTGCCTTTGATAGTTGTAAAAATCGTTATTGTACCCCAAGTAATGCAAAATTTGGTTAATACTTTCATTGTACCCCATAGTGTTGGTATAAGGTTGTACATTGTAGTCCCTCTCCATATCTACAACAGTATCAAGGGTGTAATTCTCGTAGTGAGCCTCAGTGTGTCTGCGAAAGGCCTCCCGGTAGAAAAACTCCATGTTGCAGATGTGGCACAAGTAAACCTTGACAACGTGGCTTTTGGCGTGCTCTGAGAGCAGCATTTGGTTGGGGAAACTCTCCCCGCACACCCTGCAAGGAATCATGTGCCCCCGGATGTGCTCCAAGAATTCCTGCTCACTGTCAAACCCACTGCAGCACTCCTCGCAGACAAACTTCGTCTCTATCAGCGAATCAGACCCCGAGTCGGTATCGGAGGCGTTTGGGGCCTCAACAGGCTCAAAACAGTGGCATTCGTAGAATTTACCGCTCTTATCATCAAGGGATTTGTTGTCGTTTTTATCAATGCGAGTGATGTCAATTTGGAAGTAGCACTCGTCTTTGCCCAGTTTCTCGTTTGTCACCACCAAGGGTTCGTTTTTGTCCTCTAAATTGACCTTAAAAGCCACGCAATTCTTCCCATCACCGATTATAATCTTGTTTTTCCCGAAAAGAATGTGTATATTGTCGTTGAAGTAAATCTCCTCCGATTTCACTCTATCCTGTGTTATGTCAATCTTGAAGTGGTACTTCTCAGAGCCCAGCTCTATATCTTCACCGTCATTATTATTCTCGTTTATAATGGGTAGAATAACTTCCCTACCTTCAAATTTAGTTTTAAACTCTACTGAGTTGGTTCCATCACTAATCACAACTTTGCCTTTACCACAAGCTATATGAATATTGTCGGAAAATAATATTTCTTCGCTTCTATCGGCAGTAGCAATCTTTTTCTTTGATGTATTCTTCATCAACACGTGGTTGTTGTTATTATCAAATAAGTTTTTCAGAAGATCACGTTTAGGGTGTTTTTTTATGTGTTTTATCAAGTCTTTAACGTTTTTGCAACGTTTTAAACACATTGAACATCTCGCAGGCCTCATTTTGCTAAAATGTAGCCTAATTGGACAGTATTTGTAATGGTTTTGTGTAAAATACAATATACCGGCAAAACATTCGAAAAACATAACTTGTAAAAAAGGCGCCATAGTTGTCACATTTCCGTTTGTAAATTTCGCTAATACTGACTAATTTTGAATAAAACCAAATGTAATAAATACGATATTGATCGTAATTACTTAAAATAAATAATTTTTCTTTGAAAATGACGAAAAAACGTTAAAAACACTACATTTGTATTGAGAATAAATCCGGCAACATTGGGACATTTAAACTACTGCCTCGAAGAAAAATCCCATAGAAATATAAAACAAAGAGAGTAAGGTTTTTAATCAAATTTTGTTAATGATTATAAATAATAATTGTTATACCTGGGAATACATACCTGCAATAATTAGCAAAAAAACTGTTTTACATTGTAGTATGGTCTAAAAAAATAAACAATTGGATGTTTTGAATGGGTTTTTTGTGTGTAAAACAAAATACATAAATAGGCAGCACTATTGTTTATTAAAAAAACATAATAAATACAAAAATATATTAATAAATATGGCAAAATAAATAACATACCTATACAAAATTTCCAAAGAAGAAAAGAGTTAAGAAGGGTAGTAGTAAATAAAAAAATGAAAATAGAGTTATTCCTGTATTTATACATGTAAAAAACAAAAGTGTCAATTTGACTAAATAAACAATCAAAAATATATTAAGTACAGCGTTTCCTTACAAATAGTTAAACTTCCACAAAGAACTTCAAATTTTACAGAAACCAGCATAGAATATCCCAAAATAATAAATAAATAATAATTCTCGAAAACAAAATGCATATATTTTTGTTTTGGCAAGTTAAATTAAAACTAGAAGTTTATTTCAATAAAACTTATCACAGCTGGAAAAATATTCCATTGTTTGAACAAAACTAAACAATTTTTTTATTTAATGCAGTTTCTTGTAAAAAAAGTCCACAAAGATAAAAGTTTTAGTCACAGAACATAAGGTTTTAGTACGACTTCAACGAAAATTGTGGACGTTATTTGAAGTTTTTGTGGAACATAAGGATTAACTGGAGATCAATCAAATAAATCAGCCAAAAAAACAATAAAAATAATCAGTACCGTTTCAGTGTGCTTAGATTAGTCGATAATAATAATAATTAAGTTTTTTAGGTACCGCAATTATATCACAATAAATAAGCTAACAAAAATAATAATAATAATAAAGGAAATTGAACGAAAACCGACAACACCGCATCGCGCGAAATTTGACGGTCGAGTGGAAGTGATGTTTCATGGAAGAATGATAAATTAATATTGAGATTCTTGAAGACAAAATAAATAATTCAACCTTTTAAATTATAAATGTCGTCGATTACGTAGAATCTGTCATTAAACGACTACTAAACGAAACCTAAAACTCGATTTTTAAGTTGGGTTAAGTCATTTTGACAGATTATGGCTGTATGCACAACCTTTAATTTCTATGGAAAACAATAAACCAATTAGGGCACGGAACTCTCCACCGCACACTAGATTGCGATGGAGAATGCCGAGATCCAATTGGTTTGCTGCTTTCCATAGACATTATAATCGATAGAAAGTGCGCATGCGGCCGTGATGCTGAAAAATAAACGAAAAAAATGGTTTCAGGGGGGAGACTTTCATAATGACTACAAAACAAGTTTTTAAGTCATTTTGACAGATGAGTACTCAAGAGGGGCGTTTACGTAGAAATGATGGACGTACGTACAAAAAAATGATCAAAATAAATAATTGAATCGGTAGATTAAGAACAGTACAAGTCCAAATGTCAAAATTTTGACAAAATATTTAAAAAAATTAGTTTTATAGTTCTAAATGCATTTTTGCGGGAATATTTTAACTATTTTATAAAATTGTTCATGTTCTATAATAATTTATATCTTCTCACAAAAATGTATTTTAAACTTTAAAATTGATTTAAATTAAATTAAATTTTTGGACTTGTACTGTTCGTATTCCCGTCGATTCAATTATTATTGTTGATTACAATGTCTTGAAATAATATTATGCAAATTCACTTTCTATAAAATTTTATGTTTATGGAAAGCAATAAACCAATTAGGGCACGGCATTCTCCGCCGCACACTAGATTGCGGTGGAGAATGCCGCGCTGCGATTGGTTTGCTGCTTTCCATAGACATCATAATCGATAGAAAGTTTATATGGCCGTGAGATGCAGAAAAATAAACGAAAAAAATTAACTTGATGGAGGGGAGACTTTCATCATGACTACAAAACAAGTTTTTAAGTCATTTTGACACATGAGTACTCAAAAGGGGCGTTTACGTAGAAATTATGGACGTATGTACAAAAAAATGATCAAAATAAATAATTGAATCGGTGAGATTAAGAACAGTACGAGTCCAAATGTCAAAATTTTGACAAAATATTTAAAAAAATCAGTTTTATAGTTCTAAATGCATTTTTGCGGGAATATATTAACTATTTTATAAAATTGTTCATGTTCTATAATAATTTATATCTTCTCACAAAAATGTATTTTAAACTTTAAAATTGATTTAAATTAAATTAAATTTTTGGACTTGTACTGTTCTAATTCTCGTCGATTCAATTATTATTGTTAATTATAATGTCTTGAAATAATATTATGCAACTTGACTTTCTATAAGATATTATGTCTACGGAAAGCAATAAACCAATTAGGGCACGGCATTATCCACCGCACACTTCATCATGACTACAAAACAAGTTTTTAAGTTATTTTGATAGATGAGTACTCGAAAGGGGCGTTTACGTAGAAATTATGGGCGTATGTACAAAAAAATGATCAAAATAAATAATTATTATTGTTAATGAAATAATATTATGCAACATTCCTTTCTATAAAGTGTTATGTATATGGAAAGCAATAAACCAATTAGGGCACGGCATTCTCCACCGCACACTAGATTGCGGTGGAGAATGCCGCGCTGCGATTGGTTTGCTGCTTTCCATAGACATTAAAATCGATAGAAAGCGCGCATACGGCCGAAATTAGGTTTCAAGGGGGGGAGACTTGGACTATTTTTTGGGGGGGCGGAATTTCGCGAGCTAGGCTTCCGAGGCCGCGACCATCGAGGGGTTTTTGGGCGTGTACGCGGTGGCGTTGGGATCGAGCGTGGAGCCGGGCGACGGCGCCTGCTGCTGCAGCTGCAGCTGATCCGTCGCCGCGACGTTGCCGTTGGCGGAGACGGCGGCGAGGCGGACGCGCGACTGCGTGTGCGCGCCGCCGCCGCCGAACGTGTCGTTCGGCATCACCGCCAAAACCTGCGCGATTTTGCTCTTCAGCTCCTCGATTTCGCTCGCTTGCGCTCTGTTCGCACCTTGAAAACAGACAAAACGAAAAAGGTCAATTGCAAAATTCTACAATTTTTTCAATGCTCAAAATTTCACAAAAAAATTATTGTATGCAATAAAACTTAAATTTCCATCAAAATAATTAAATTTTGTAAATTGACTATAAAATTGATATAATAAATAGAATCTTAATAAAATTGCTTTTCAAAGTAACAAAAACACTTTTTACAATAAGTTATAGTAAAGTTTTTTTGATTAATTCTTATTTTATGTCATAATAGTTATTTATGTCATTAGGCTAAGCTCAAGGTTTGAACAATTGAGCGAAGCACAAAAAGGCACTTCTTGGCCGAATGGCATACAACATTTTATCTTCAAAGCACTTTATATAGGTCAATTTAATTCAACATCAAAGCCGGCTAACCTCACTTTTTTAGAATCTCATTTATTTATAAGCTAAAGATTACATCAAATGTACAATAATTATTATTGCTTTTAGAAGCAGTAATAGTTTGACAATACCTAGCAACATGATTAAGTAGTAATGGATTTTTGCTTTTACATTGAATTCAATTAAATTGTTTAATAAATAGGTAGGTATCTAATTTCAATTTGTTTGGATTTTTATTTAAAAAATAGGTAGTTTTGAATGTTTAAGCTGTGTTTAACATTTAATTATTTCACTAAAAACTTAAAGCAAATCAAAACTTAAAGATAATTTAAATCGTAGAAAAAGAATCGTGCGTTTTCTTGGTTGCCTAACCTCACTTTTTGTTTTACTATTCATATTTAATTTTACAATAATTTAATGAAAAATATTAAACATTAACAATAAAACAAACAAATTAGTGCTTATTATAAATAAATTAAACCAGTTTAGTACGTTAATTTCTTAGAAAAGGATTAATTTGTCAAAACAATACCCCTAGCGAGAAAAAATCGAACTAATTACTTGCCTCATAAAAATTTTTATCGGCTTAGGCCATAACAAGGTATTTCTTTATCGAATGTTGACAACAATAAAGTTTAAATTATAAACCGCGTGGAACAAAATTGCTTTTCTGAATGAGAAAAAACTTTTTACAATAAAATTTAAAGAAAAACAGTTAAGGTAATTTTTTTTAAATTCTTATTTTAGGTCATAAATTTATTATTTTTCCCAAAGCAAACCATGGTATTCTAGAAAAATGAAAATTTTTTGCAATAAAATTTCCATAAAATTAATTAAATTTTGTAAATTATCTATAAACCAAATTTTATAAATAGAATTTTTACAATAAAATTTGAAGAAAAACAGTTATGGTAAAGTTTTTTTTTAATTCTTATTTTATGTTATAAAATTAATATTTTTTCACAAAAAAAGATTTATTGCACAATAAAACTAAAATTTCCATAAAATTAATTAAATTTTGTAAATTGACTATAAACTTGATATAATAAATAGAATCCTAATAAAATTGCTTTTCAGAGTAAGAAAAACACTTTTCACAATAAAATTAAACAAAAGAGTTATAGTGAAGGTTTTTTGATTAATTTTTATTTTATGATATAAAAATAATATTTTCACAAAAAAAGGATTTTGCAATAAAATTTCCATAAAATTAATTAAAATTAACCAACTATAAATAGAATTGGAATACAATTGCTTTTCTGAACGAGAAAAACACTTTTTACCATAAAATTTGAAGAAAAAAAAAGTTAAGGTAGTTTTTTTTTAATTCTTAGTTTATGTCATTAAATTCTTATTATTCTTCCCAAAGCACACCATGGCATCGTAGAAAAACGAAAAAAAAAACAAAAAAGCGAACTTACTCTCTCTGATCTCGAGCTGCCTTTTTGCCTCGCCCAGCGCGCTGAACAGGTCCAACTTGATGCGGTTCTCGGCCGACAGCGAGTTCTCCAGGTGCGTCGTCTTCTCCTGCATCGCGCCCAGCGCCGACATCAGCACGTCGGTCTCGCGCAGCTGCTCGGCCAGCGCGGCGTTCTCCGCCTGCAGCGCGCCGCACCGCTCCTCGGCCCAGCGCTGCTGCGCGCGCGCCTCGCCCGCCTCCGCCTCGAGCTCGCGCCGCCGCGCCTTGCACGCCTCCGTGCACTCGCCGCGCGACGCGAGCTGCTGCTGCTGCTGCAGCTGCTGCGCCGCCGCCTGCACAACGAATAACTCACCGTTAAGTTTTTAGTAAACATTCAATTTTATAGTTTCCTTAAGAAACTTTCTTGACCCATCCCTGGTAATATTCATAGGAAAAAATTGAACCTACAAAGGACTCCTTCAGCTTATATGCTCGGTTGTTAAGTCAACAGAGGCGAGATGTAAGAACATCAGGTGATACACACCGTCAAACGTTTTTGGTGCCGATTATTTTCCTCGTTATAAAATGAACCAACCAAAAGCCTTAAATTTTGTTTAGATAAGCGAACTGGTTTGACAACGATTAAATTTTAACCTCCATACTGAATTTTTGTTTACGATTTTAGGTTAGTTTTACATACATTTTTTAAAAAACAATAAAAAATAAGTTATCTAGTTTACAAAATATCAATTATTAATTGAGGCGTCTACTTGCAATAGTGGCTACATCCATATTTTATCAAAAGTAGAAAACTATACGGGGTGTTATGTAATTAAAGTTATATATTAAAATGGGTTGTTCCTTAGGGTCCATAAAGAAGCACCTGAAACTTTTTTATTCTAAAAATGACAAAATTAACAATGCAAATTGTCAATTTGGCGTTTTTATTAATTGTTGGTTATGTCATTTTTGTACTGAAGGTAAATTCAAACAAAATCTGGCAACCTTTATGACAGAATCTAGTGCATTTCTTTCAAATTTTAAGTTATTCTAATAATTCATTTAAATTGTTTTTTTTTTCAATTTAGTTAGAATTTTAGTAGTCTTTGATCCTGGTTTTACTTTTTTTTAATTTTAATTTAATAATTTTTAAGTTTTTCACTAATTTCGTTTTTAATTTTATCCTTCAAATTTTGCTATAAATTTTATTGATTTTTTAATTAAAATTTGACAGTGTCAGTGACAGTGTTTATTTTAATGTAACTTACCCATTTAATTAATTAATAATTTTGCAATACTTTTTTTGATATTTTTTTCTAGTAATTCATTTAAATTGTTTATTTTTGCCCCAATTTAGTAAGAATTTGACAGTGTCAGTGTTTATTTCAATGTAATTTACCCTTTTAATTTTTTACCATGGATCTTTGACCCTGGTTTTAATTTTTTTAAATTTTAATTTAATAATTCATTTAAATTATTTTTTTTCACCCCAATTTAGTAAGAATTTGACAGTGTTAGTGACAGTGTTTATTTTAATGTAATTTACCCATTTAAGGTAGTTGTCGTGGTACAATATTGTCAAAAAATTTTAGATTATACGCACCGTAAAAGTATACGAGCTGGTAGCTAAGTGATTCATAATTTGTTCGCAAGACTGTACCCTGGAGACGTTATTTTTACGTAATACTTTCAAATATTTTCATAAGTTTTAATCCGGCAACGTCGCTTATGCTCAACCAATAGATATATTGGAGACTGAATCAGACGTTTGAATTTACTGCGGAAATTATATCTATACTCGCGTACAGCCTTGCCAAGTTGTTTTTATCTGACACTAGTGATGTATACTTTTTACAAATTGTTGAACTTTAAACGGTTATTTATAAACAATTGGACGGTCAAAAATTTTTAATTATTTTTTTTTAAACTCAGCAAAAATACATTAAAACAATGTTAGTTTTTTGAAAGCTTCTGACAGTTAGTTTTTTCTGTATAACTAAGAAACTGGTACAGAACTACAGAAAGCCTATACAATCCATGTTAATTATCCAATTTTTAATTGAATTTATCTCGGGTTATAGACGGTCAATCGACTTCAAATTTTAAGGATATATGTATTGTCATGTCCTTAATAAGTATACAAAAATTCAAAATTTTCTGATGGTATGCTTATAGCACGACAACTACCTTAATTAATTAATAATTTAGCAATACTTTTTTTGATATTTTTTTTCTAGTAATTCATTTAAATTGTTTTTTTTGTCCCAATTTAGTTAGAATTTGACATTGTCAGTGTTTTTACCCATTTAAGGTTTTACATGGATATTTGATCCAGGTTTTAATTTTTTAATTTTAATCTATTAATATTTAAGTTATTTACTAATAAATTTCATTTTTAATTTTATACTTATTTTTCATAACGTTTTTTTTTACTTTCTAATAATTCATTTAAATTATTTTTTTTTCAATTTAGTTAGAATTGTAGTGTCAATGACAGTGTTTATTTCAATTTAATTTTTTACTATGGATCTTTGATCTTTTTATTTAATAATTTAACTCATTCACTAACAAATTCCGTTTTTTAATATTATCCTTCAAATCTCGCGATGATTTTTTATTCTTTCGAATAAAAAACGTTCTGGAACGAAACAAAATAATCGACGAATGAAAACTCACCTGTGCAGCCCTCTGCTCCTCCTGCTTCCTGCTTTTGCGCTCTTGCGTCAGCTGCGACTCGAGAGTGCCGCGTTGCCGTCTCTCGTCCGTCAGCCGCCTCTCCAGCTGCCCGATCGTCTGCTTGTCCTGCGAACGGCAACTGTGCGCCGACTGGAGGCGCTGTTGCAGCTCCTCCACTTCGCGCTGCATCGACGACAGCTCCCCCTTCGACACTTTTTCGCTAGTCGTCAGCGATGCCACCTGCGAAGCGAATATTCTTACCAACAGAAAGTTACTGGGAAATTTACTTCTAAAAAGTATCTAGTTACTTTTCTAAGATACTTAGTTACCTCTGGTGACTAGATACTTTGAGTTAGAAATAGAAATATCTTTATTAGTTCAAAAAAGATTGTTCAACAACAGAGAACACGTCAGAACAAAAAAACTAAATATAAAAAACATAAACCTATATGTAGATATAATCACAATCCACACAACAAGGTCTTTTCTATCTCGTACTAAAAATACAAAAAATCACTGCAACACTGCACAGTTTAACGGCGGCCATTTTTGTTGTTTACAATTCTTGTGCTTTGGGTTTGTGCTCTGTTTATACAGATTAATAATCGTTTTAAACGTTGTGTTTCTCATAGTAAGCCTTAAAAGAGGCCTTAAAGTGCTGAGAACAACCATTTTACTCCTCTATTGTAAAAAATAAACTTTATCTACGCCAGTGAGATAAGAACTTCTTATCCCACTCATTTTGAGTGTTTTTCTCTGCTTTTAACCAATCAAATAAAAAAGTTAAAATGTCAAAATAACCCTAAATTAAGTCTTAGACAAAAATAATTACCGTTTATTTTTTAATTTGGAGGCGTAGATAAAAATTTGTACAATATACGTGTGATAACGCTTTATTAACGTACTTTTGCGATTGCCCAAACCAATTTCGCATGCGTACGTTAATAAAGCTCTTATCCCACTTATATCGTAAATAACTATTATTTTATCAGGGCTGTCATAAAACTGTCAAATGTCAATTTAAAGGTTGAATTATAACCCACAAATTAACCTTCAAATTGTCATTTGACAGCCCTGATAGAATAAGGTATTTTTATTATGAAAGAGGAGTAAAATGGTTGTCCTTAGCACTTAAAGGCCTTATTTGAGGCTTACAAGTGCCTCCGTAAGAAACCCAACGTTTAAAACAATTGTTAAACAGCACAAACCCAAAGCACGAGAATTGTAAACAAAAAAAATGGCCGCCGTTAAACTCTGTGCAGTGTTGCAGTGATTTTTAGTATTTTTAGCATGAGATAGAACAAACATTGTTGTGTGGATTGTGACTTTTTCAAAAATTTAAAAAATGTAAATTTTTACAGAAAACCCAAATTTCTGCAAATTAACGACAAAACTTAAAAGAAGCAAACCAAAACATTGAAAAAAGTAATCAAAATTTGCAAAATAACATTGTAATCCCAAAAACCTCGAAATTTACTGAAAATTTCATGAAAATGTACAATTTTAAATGTTACCCAAGAACAACACTATTTGAGTAATCTGACAGTTAAGAATCTTTAAGGTTATGTAAAACGTCATATAAATTTATAGTTTATACCCAATGTGTTTTTAAATAATTAAAAATACGTAAAAAACAATAGTATATTACACTACAAGGGCAGAAAGTGTGAGATTCCTGCACTGCGCGCCATGATGCCCGAGGCATCATGGCGCGCAGTTCAGGGGTCTCATACTTTCTGCCCGTGTAGTGTATACTATTTTTCTTGCTACCCCGCAGAAAATACGGGAAAAAATTAAATGTATATAAAAAAACTTGTGTCAAAATTAAAATCTGACGTTTAATTTAATTCTGACGTTTACATTCAAAATCAATCAAACTGTAGCGTTGTCATGGTAATTCAGCGGTGCCAATACAGTAAAAATAAAAGGTTGTATTTTAATTAACAAATTACTACTTTATAACAAATAAAAGTACCATTAAACACTTAAAACAACATAAAAAGTAAAAAAAGTATAAACATAAATTGTTTATTTGTTGTTATAATTGCAAAATTATGGTTTAAAACTGTCATATTTTTTTGTTTCTCATGTTGGCAGTACGAAATTTGAATGTTAAGCACACGACTAAAAATTTTTTCTCCCGCTATTAGAGTGTGCGCGTATAGCTTGACCAATGCAAGAAACGTAAACTTTCTGCCGTGAAATCGGGGACGAAACAACGTATTTTGAGTCGAGGTAGTAAGAAAAATTCTTTCAAAAATTTAAAAAATGCAAATTTTTACAGAAAACCCAAATTTCTGCAAATTAACGACAAAACTTAAAAAAAAACAAACCAAAACATTGAGAAAAGTAATTAAAATTTGCAAAATATCATTTTAATTACAAAAACCTGAAAATTTCATAAAAACGTACAATTTTGAATGTAACCCAAGAACAACACTATTTGAGCAATCTTACAGTTAAGAATCTTTAAGGTTATGTAAAACGTCATGTAAATTTGTAGTTTATACCTAATGTCTTTTTAAATAATTTTTACAGAAAACCCAAATTTCTGCAAATAAACGGCAAAACTTAAAAAAAAACAAAATAATGAGAAAAGTAATTAAAATTTGCAAAATACATTTTAATCACAAAAACCTGAAAATTTCATAAAAACGTACAATTTTGAATGTAGAACAACACTATTTGAGCAATCTGACAGTTAAGAATCTTTAAGGTTATGTAAAACATCGTGTAAATTTGTAGATTTCCCGTACTTGTTTGTACAAAGTAGCAAATAATTAAAATATTTTGGTGTATAATTTGCAATTGTTTACCTACCAAGTGCTTGCCAAAACATTTTAATTACTGGAAACGTCAAAGTATAATTTGACGTTTCTAAAAAGTGTCGTTCCTAGGTAGTTTTGTTAAAAACCATATTTACCTGCAATCTGAGCTCCTGCTCGCTCTGTCTGCTGCCCTGCAGCTCGATTCTGAGCCGCTTCGCGTCCGTTTCCAACCTCTGAAGGTACTCGTTGGCCTCCCTGTCCTTGTTTAACTCTTGCTGCTCCTTTTTGCTCCTCCGATTCGACTGCGCGCTCCTCTGACCTTGCGGCTGCGCAGGCGGCGTTGCCACCTCCGCGTCCTGGTGGTGGTCGTCCGCGCCCGCGCCGACGACCGCACCGTTGCTGTGCGCGTGACTTTTGCCGCTTTTTGTAGCTTCTTTATCTCTGTGATCTTCGTCGTTCTTGTGCTCTTTGTGCTGCTGCTGCTGCTCTTTGCTTTTCTCCATCGACTTTCTGTGGTGCGATTTGGAGGTGTGGTGGTGCACCCCGTTGGCCACCGTGCCGTTCGGTATGTGCCCGTTCTTCTCGCTCGATTGTCTGAAAAACGAAAACGAAACACTGGCAACTGCGCATGATACATAATTGACAGCTGTCAAAGTTTGAGGTTAAGACGATTTTTAAAAATGGATATTTTATTTTATTGACAATACAATTCATTATAATTAGAACCAATTAAATGGCAGTATTCCATTGTTACGCATTTCGTCACAGCGACAATATTTTTTATCACCTTGTTTACACGTTGCTAAGGATTTTGACACTTTTCTTGATTTGACATTTGTTGACATTTAAATACCTACTGTGTTTGTTAAATGATTAAAATAATGAATTATAATCTTTAAAAGATCGATGGTTGGTGTAAACGATAATAAAATTAAGGTAAGTTTAAATAAATAAGGTTTATTAAAGTCTTTTTATATTTTAAAGCCTACTTTAATTTCAAATGTCAAACTGACAGGAGGAGGGCTCTTTCCTCAAAAAATGAAAATGACCGAATGCATTTTTTAAAAGGCAATATGCTTGAATGCAAAATTATAATTATTTTTATGCACGAGTGTAATTTGTTTAGATAATTACACAATTAAACTAATTAAATCATATTTTTTGTTGTTTGCAGTATTTTTTGGTACACTATTTTTCACATTTTCATATTTTATTTGGTATTAATAGTCCTGGAGCATAAAGCAATAAAATGTTCTCCGTGGGATTTGTTATGAAGGGATGATGGGACTATATGGAATAGCTTTTTTATACCTTTTTGAGTTGTGTGGTACCGGGTGTTCACCTTGAAAATATGTCTGGTGGTGTTTATGGCATTTCTGATCCAAAATGTCCACCATTTTCGACATTCATTTATAAAATGCCAAATAATTAATTTTATTGTGCCCTTTGTATTAAATTACATTTGACATTTTTTTATTGTCATTTGACCGTGTATCGAAACAATTGTATAATTTTATGGGCCGTCAAATTTGATGGCCCATCAATTTTTTTAGCCTCTAGCAACAGTGACTTTTTTGAAATAAAACTGTTTTAGCAAATTTAAGTAGTTTCATTGGTTGCTTATAAATTAAGTGTGCCTTGACTTTATCAATTTATGTTTACATAGAACTGTCAAAAGTATTTTAGGATTTTAATACTTTTTTGCTGTTTTTTTTTTTAAATTAAGGTATGGTTTTGTGTTTAAATTTGATTTTATATAGACTTTTATTGAATTTAAAAGCATTTTTAATTTCTAAATACTTAATTTTAACAGTTTTCTTTTAAAATATTTACTATTACCTATTTAATTACCATTTCCTGTTAATTATAATTTATTACACTGTTTTACAAGGAAAAATAGAAACTTTTTTTTAAATTTTAGGGTGATTTTGGTGCGCTAAACACAAAAAACTTTTTTCTTATTTGGGCCATTTACCTAAATGACGGTATATTTTTGTTTTTTAATTTAAGATTTTTAATTTTAGATTTTTCAGCATCGAGAGGGTATGGCAAATCCGATAAATGCCAAATCCGATATAAGGTTGAAAGGTGGTTAAATTTCGCATTCAACGGTAAAAACATCGTTTTTATTGAACCAAAAATAGCTGAGTTACAGCTCATAAAAGTTCAAATTTCTTGCAAAATAGCTTCAAATCGATCCAGGCAAAATATAACAATATGTCAGTTTTAAAAGCCAATATTTTCTTAACCATTTGAGATAAAAAAAATGTTTTAAATCATTTTTTTTCCTTTTTTATGGTTATTTTAACAGATTATATAATTTTTTTTAATAGGACCACTAATTACGAAATTATGCGACATTTTATAAACGCATACCTGATATAATAGTTAGGTATCGGATTAATGACGTCATAAAAAATTGACACATTTTTAAACAAAACACCCTATAATACACTACTGCCTTGTGTATAAAAAACTGATTTCAGATAGTTTCATCTTCCCTTCACAAAAAATCCCACGGGATGCACTATGCTCCAAAACTATAAATATTATTTACTTTAAAACACTATATTGTATTTGATTGAAAGTAGGTTTTTTTATACTAATAATATTTTCTTGAAATGTTAATATTGAGACATAGATCGTTTTTTACCTGTGAAGATCTTCAAATTATTCTACAATTTAATCTAAAAATCGAATAATTTTAAAGAAATTTGTTTTCTTGTAGGTACCATGATTTTAATAAACAAAAAAAATCCATAATTTCGATACTAAAAACAATGCGTAAAAACTCTTAAAGTCTATTAATAAAACATTCTAAGAACTCCGTTGGATAAATTGAGGTTATGTCGCGACTGACAGTTAAATGCGGCGTTGCCGAGACTCACCTGTGATGGTTGCTTTGCTGCGCCTTCTGCGCGGCGGGCGCCGCGACGTTGCCGACCTCGGCGTCCTTCTGCGCGGCCGGCGCCGTCTGCGGCGACGTTGCCGTCTCGACGGGCAACGCCTGCTGTATGAGCTGCATGTAGAACTCGTTCTCCTTGGCGACGTCGCGCTGTCGACGTTGCCGCATCCGGTAGCCCACGTACGACTTGAAGCCGAAGCCCAGCGTGACCACCGGGTAGCCTATGCAGTGGGCGGCGAACGGCCTGCACAGGTCCAAGTGCCCAGGCATGTGTTTCACGTCGCGCAGCCTCACTGCCGCCTCCAGGTACACGAATAGAACCTGTCCGAATCGAGAGTGTTTTAAAAATAACAGAAATCTACTTTATCGATCTTCAAATGTTATTGGGTCACCCATTGTTGCCAACTCTTAAGGTGAATTTATGGTCCATTAAAATAAGAAATAAAAAATAAGAAATAAAAATAAAAGTTAATGGTTTATACTCACGAAAATAAGAAATAAAAAATAAGAAATAAAAATAAAAGTTGTCAATTTTCAACTTAAGATTCTTATTCTGCGTATTTTTGTGCGCAAATGATTTATTTTCGTCATCAGCTGACAGATTTTTGTTTCGCGAGGAAAATTCGCAAATACTTTTGTGCAATAGTTAATTCTTAATTGTTGTGTTGTTTAATTACTGCGATAATTGGTGTTTTGGATTGTTTTTGTGTTATTTAATTATATTATTGGAAATATGGACGACAGGGATAAAAATTTCCCGTAACCCTGCGATTACGATTTAGGGGTCGAATGCTGTACCGTCTCGCAGCCCGTTTCTTACGAACAATTCTTTTTTGCAACAGTAAAAATGCTGTTGCAAGCAATACAATTTTTTTAATTCTGATTCTAATTTTTAAAAGGTTACCACAGAACAAACCAACCAAAGAAACGAACGCTTTGGGAACTGTCAAACAATCAGGTTTAACCTCACTTTTGCATATTTTTCTTATTTCTTATTTTTATTATTTATCAGACATAAATGACAACAAATGAAACTATTTCTTATTCTTATTTCTTATTTTTTAATTTCTTATTTTTAGTTAGCATAAATTCACCTTTAATGCAATAAGAGAAGTACCTACGTACAGTTCATTTTTTTTTATCTGTACTCGTGTTTTTTGTTGATACAGACTTTGATTTAATATTAGAAAAATGCAGAACAGATGATAACTATAGTTGTCGCGGCGAATGTTTTGTTTTGTTGTTATCTTTTAAATATGTAATCTAAGAAACCTAACCTAACCGTATGTCGAGAAATCGGTTTTTGACATTTGACATTCGACATTGATGACGCAATTTGAAACATTCGCCGCGTCGACTATACCTGTTTTTGGGTATTGTGGTTGGAAGCAACATCCTAACCTCAATTTTTTTTAGCTTATTGGTATCAACAATGTACTCACCCAAAGTATAATCGTTGGAGCACATATCCCTTTATCTGTGTGCCACACATACTGCACCCACACGTAAGTGCTGGCAGCGAAGAACAACCAATGCACTGGTATGAAGAAAAAGCACAGCATGTCGGAGGTGAGTGCTATGCATACGAAGAAAATCGAGAACGCCAGCCCTTGGTACTTGAAGGAATCGTAGACGGAGCGCAGCAACAGGTAAAACGGCCATAAGAATTCGAAACGAAACTCCAAGATGAAGTCGGCCAATATTACCAGCACCCACACAAGAAAGAACTTCATGTACAAGACAGTGCTACAAAAAGTTAACCTTTATTAAAAAATTTTACAAAAGTTTAATATTATTTCCACTCCCATACTTTAATTTAATTTTTAACCAATAGAAAATGCCATATAAATCAATATTGACCAATAGCAATATTTTGTCAATATCAACCATTGCCTTGGAAATCTGACAGATCTAATATTTATCATTGTGACAAGTTACTGACTGTTTACATAAAACATTTTTAAACATACGCGATAGTGAACGTAAAATTGAAAAAATATTATCAGCAAAATCTGCAAAATGGTGAGAAACATTTCAGTTTTCTACTTTAATATGATAGTCGTAAAAAATATTATTGGGTTCATTATAACATTGGCGTTTAATAGCTATAATTACATCATCATTGCATAACATACTATTTTGGACTATTTGTTTACATAAAAAAAAACAGAACAATTCTCTAATGAAAAACTTAAAAGTTGCTAAGTTAAGATGGTTTAATTTTGATTTTTTGACATAAATTGTCAGAAAAAATGTGAACCTCAACAGCCTTACTGACATTTTGTGTCAAAAAATTAAAATTTTAAATCATAACTTTGTCATTATTAATATTTTATTTTTGGGATGCCATCAGAAAATTGTTTTCCATCATTTTATGTAAATAAATGGTGTTATTTTTGTTTAAACATAGTTAAAACTGGTTGTTTTTAAACAGGTGTGAATGACATACTGTAAGTATTCAATTAAAATGGTTTTATTAAGTAAATATAAAGGCACGATTAAGTGCCAGAAGTGTAAACTGTATTATTATATCATTTTAATTGTTTATGTTTTCCCAAAACAAACTTTTAATAGCGTAATATTCCCCGATTAAGATAAAAATAATATTGTTTTGACAGCAGCGATTCTAACCTATCTGTAAAGATTATGAACCAAAATATGCTTATTTAAAGCGTATAAATTAAAAGAATTATAATTTATCTTTTAAATTTCGCGGACAGGGTTAAATTTGGATCAAATAGGTCGCGATTTTAGGCATTTGTTTAGGGAAACCAGCCATTTTGATCCACATATGGGATAAACGCGCTTAGAATGTTCCCTAGCGCAATGATTTGCGCGCGTTGCGTCACATTCTAACCCGGAAACGCATACCTTCCGTAAATTCCCTCTGTTATTTTGTTCCTCTTGACGGGTCTTCGCATTTTCCCGATCTCAGCATTTCGTCTCTTCATAATTTTTCTCGCACACACTTTTAATCAGTTCGAGTACGGCTTCACCACGCGCGATTGCAACGAAAACTACGCGGCGGTCCTCTCATGGATTTTTCTTTTGCCCCGTCGAATCGCTTTTGCGGTAAATTCTCCTTTTGTTGTCAACTGGCGGCGATGGTTGCGGATGGCGCGCAAAGATGGCGCCACTGCAAACGTCAAGGCGACGCAGCTACCGCAGTAGGTCGAATGCACCGCCATGGCCGTGCAGATTATTTTTGAATTAGGGAACGATTTTGCGTTTGTGTAAAATTTCTCGAAATTTTCCCAAGGGGTTGAAGTATCCCACACTAAATTTTAGTTAAATTAATTAGTTGGAACCAAAGAGCATATATTTTTGGAGAACGGAACGAGAAAAAACGTTTTTTGTCAATGTTTCTTATTTTTCTTCTTTATTCTCAATATTCTCGACGATTCTCAATTTTCGCAATATTCTCAAAAAGATTACCACTTTTCTCAATATTTTGACTGTTGTAAAAATCTTTTGTTTATTAATAACACCCTTCAATCAATAAAAAACCCTACCCTACTGATAAGGGAGCCTAAATATTCCTTTATAATATATTTTATTAACTATGTACATCACAAAATTCGTAAATAAGCAAGTAGATAAAGACAATTAGTATGGTTAACAATTTTTCGTATTATGCAAAAGGTCTATAACTTTTGTATTATTAAACTAATTTAAAAAAATCTTTTACCAAATCAAACTAAAAACTATTCCTCAGCAAAATATTTAGAAACCCTCTGAAGAATATTTTTGAATTAGGTACATAAAAACACCATCAGCACAATTTATAAACGATTTTAAGAAACTAAACCTTTAAATATTCCCAAAACAACCCTTTATACTATAACAAGAAAATTTTATCAAAAAGTTTGTAAATAAGCAAAAAAAAGTAGAGTTCGAAAATTTCCGTATAAGCAAAAGGTTCATAATTTTTTTAATATAAAACCAATTTAAAAAATCTTGTGCCAAAGCAAAATAAAAACTATTCTCCAACAAAAAATTTAAAAACCCTCTGGGGAATATTGTTAATTCTCCCGCATAACCTAAAAACCAAACTTGTTGCAAAAGGTTCATAACTTCCCCATTTTGAAACCGATTAAAAAAACTCGACGTTAAAATAAAGCCTAAATGTTTCTTTATAATATATTTCATTAACTACATCACAAAATTTGTAAATAAGCAAGTTGATAAATGTTAAAAATTTCGTATGATGCAAAAGGTCCATAACTTTTGTATTATTAAACTAATTTAACCAAATCTTTTACCAAATCAAAATAAAAACCATTCCCCAGCAAAATATTAAGAAACCCTCTGAAAATTTTTTTTGGATGACAAAAAGCTTGATTAACAAAATATCGACGTTTTTGGGTAAACACTGATAAAATAAAACATTAGGTGCGTTTTAAATAAATTTATTGAATTTAATTAATTTTAAATCACATGGTATAATTAGGGAACCACATAACTAATAATTTAAGGTGAACCAAAACAAAAATATACAAAACCCATAAACGCAGTAAACCTCATTGAAAAAGCAATAAAAATTGAATGTTGGTGGTTGTTTCATAAATTTATTTAATCATGTATACATTAATCAATCAATAATAAAATAGACTAAAATTTGTATAAGGTACACTTAATTAAAAACTTACTTAGGTAGCGTTTAAAAAGAAATCCGGGGGTGATCAAGTTGAATACAATTGAATTTATCACATCGAATCGGACTATAGTTCATAAATTAATTAGTTAATTGGAGTAAAAAAGACCTACATGATCCTCTCGTAGAACAGAAGGTATGCTTGCGCACTGAGCACCTTGGTTTCCGGCACTTCCGAGACGTAGGAGTCGCTGATGTAGTACCACCGCCCGGGGGGCACCTGTGGCTCCCCCATCGCCCCTTTTGCCGTCTTATCCTTCTGGTTTTTGGGCAGGAACTGCCACCTGTAGGAATTCTCCTCCAGCTTGGGCCGAATTTTAATGTAGGCAACGTAGTGCCCCCCGTGTATGGACCCGCTGTGTTCTACCACCCCGTAAAGGGAGTACAAGACCTTGGACTGCCCGTACTCGAAGGTGGGCAGGTTCTGCGACCTTTTGGAGCAAAAAGGCGCCAGATCCAGCAATGAAGAGAACTTCACGAACTTCGAGACTTTGGCGGAGCGAAAACGGCACACTTGAAACCGCTTCAAATGCAGAATCAAGACGGCCGGGGGGTTGTAGATGAGCAACTGTTTGCTGGCGTCGGTGTAGACGGTTTTTTTATCGGGTCCTCCGTGGCGCTTGGTGCACATTTCGCAGCCCACCTTGTTGTTTCCCGCCATTAATTCGCACTCGGTGAATTGATTTAAACAGCTCTGCACTGAACACTCCCTTTCTTCGCATTGGTACCTGGGGGAGATGGTGCCGGTCCACATGTTGGCGTCTTCTTCGTCGTCCATTTCTTCCTCCATCTGAAATTTATTTATTTATTTATTTCTTTATATTATTTACATAACTTTTTATAGCCAACAAAACAGTTCTTAACTGGTACCGCTAGTCTATAAAATTTGTTTCCATCCAACTAATCCATTCCATTCCATACATTTTCTTACTAACTTTTTCAAAAAGTACCTCTCTTTATTTTTCTTTCATTAGTAATGAATGAATGAATGAATCATTACCTTCTCCAAAATATTAATTTGTATTAGAATACAATAAATTTTGACTGGCAACTATTATATGATATAATTAATCCCTCTGAAACGTCTTAAACTTGGACTTGCCTTTTCGTCCTCCTCGACCTCGTTGCCTCCGCACGCGCCCTCCATTTCGTCGTCCTCGTGGCCGAAGAGCGGAACTTTGCTGGAGTCGCCGTCGTTCAGCAGACTTAGTTTTTCCAGGTCGACTTTCAGGTCGTTGCTTTTGTTGTTGACGAACGCCAGTCGGGATTCTGGACGTTCGAACTCTTCCGTCACGCTAAAATTTTTCAAAAAAAAAAACCGAATAGTTTGTAAAACGCAAAGAGTATGTACAGTGTTGGCAATAATTTTTGCAACCACTGTAAAAAAAAATCCAACTCTAATCTAATCTAACTGGATAGTTTACGTGTTCGAGGGTTTTATTTCATTAAAAACCTTGTAAATAAGCAAATAAAGTAGGGTTCGAAAAATTCCGTATATTCAAAAGGTCCATATTTTTTTTATTATCAAACAAATTTAAAAAAATCCTGCAACAAAGCAAAATAAAAATTATTCTCCAGCAAAATATTTAAAAACCCTCTGGTGAATATTTTTAATTCCCCCGCATAACCTCAAAAACTAAACTTGTTGCGAAAGGTTCATAAAAATATAATGTGCTGGCCAAATAGCTTTTAAATTAAGCTAAAGGTCATTCCTCTGAACACAGAATTGTGTTCAGAATTAAGAAGAAGAAGAAGAAGGTTCATTACTTCCCCATTTTGTAACCGATTATAAAAAACTCGACGTTAAAATAAAGCCTAAATGTTCCTTTATAATATATTTCATTAACTACATCAGAAAATTTGTAAATAAGCGAGTTGATAAACACTAAAAGTAATGTTAAAAATTTCGTTTTATGCAAAAGGTCCATAACTTTTTTATTAATGTACTAATTTAAAAAAATATTGTGTCAAATCGAAATAAAAGTTATTTTCCAAGTATATTTTTAAAAACCCTTTGAAGAATATTCTGAATTCCCCCTCACACCTTAAAAAACACGGTTAATGCAAAAAATGTAACTTTTAAAAAGTAAACTTTAAATTATAATATGTAAAAATACATGCAAAAGTTTGAAATTAAGTTAAAAAATTAAGGTTAGGAAATTAACGGATGTGCAAAAGGTCCATAACTTTTTTTCTATTGGACCAATTTTAGAAAACCTTGTGCCAAATTAAAGCTAAAACAATCCCCCAAGAAAATATTAGAAAACCCTCTGAAGAATATTTAAACTTTTCCGGGAAAATCGAAAAACCACGCTTGATGCAAAAGGTCGATAACTGCCCCGTTTCTCAACCGATTCATAAAAACTCGACGCCAAAACAAAGCGAAAAACTCTTTTATACGTCAACATAAATAAATTTCATCAAAAAGTTTGGAAATAAGCAAAAAAAGTAGGGTTCGAAAATTTCAGTACACGCAAAAGGTCCATAATTTTTTTATTATCAAACAAATTTTAAAAAATCCTGCAACAAAGCAAAATAAAAATTATTCTCCAGCAAAATATTTAAAAACCCTCTGGTGAATATTTTTAATTCCCCCGCATAACCTCAAAAAATAAACTTGTTGCGAAAGGTTCATAACTTCCCCATTTTGTGACCGATTATAAAAAACTCGACGTTAAAATAAAGCCTAAATATACTTCATTAACTGCATCAGAAAATTTGTAAATAAGCGAGTTGATAAACACTAAAAGTAATGTTAAAAATTTCGTTTTATGCAAAAGGTCCATAACTTTTTTATCATTAAACTAATTCAAAAAATTTTTGTGTCAAATCGAAATAAAAGTTATTTTCCAACTATATTTTTAAAAGCCCTCTGAAGAATATTCTGAATTCCCCCTCACACCTTAAAAAACACGGTTAATGCAAAAAACATAACTTTTAAAAAGTAAACTTTAAATTATAATACGTAACAATACATGCAAGTTAGAAATTAAGAAAAAAAAATTAAGGTTGGGAAATTAGCGGATGTGCAAAAGGTCCACAACTTTTTTTCTATTGGACCGATTTTAGAAAAATTTGTGCCAAATTAAAGCCAAAACAACCCCCCAAGAAGATATTAAAAAACCCTCTGAAGAATATTCAAACTTTTCCGGGAAAATCGGAAAAACACGCTTGATGCAAAAGGTCGATAACTTCGACGTTTCTCAACCGATTTAAGTAAACTCGACGCCAAAAGAAAGAGAAAAACTCACTCGTCGTTGGGGCTGTTGTTGCCGCAGGTGGGGCTGCCCATGTCCA